TCAATGTACTCCAAATAAGTATTGGGGAGATCAGTGTGAAACAACTTCATGTTTCTCCATCATGTCAAATTCAACCAACCCAAAACCATGTTCTGGAAATGGAAATTGTGTTTCATTTGACAATTGTTCTTGTGTCACTGGATCTGGCGTTCCCAACTACCACTTCGCTGGTGTAACATTCCTTTATTTGGTTCATTCGGGCTACGTCTCAGTGTTTTTGTTACATTAGCTTTTTGTTGTTCGCCCAGCAAAAGCTGCTTTGTCTTTGTTGAAGGACAAAGGCTTCTGCTGGAGCTATAATGAATAATAAAACGACTTGAGGTATGTTGTTGTGATTAGAAAAATACGGTGTAATTGTGGTCGGAAGAAATAAATAGGTGAACAATTTTAAACGTGTTCCAATTTTTGGACGAACTTTTTTTGTGATGAAAAATGCTTGACATTTTATTGCATGTCTTGAGACGAAGCCACCACCTGGCTCAGCTGGGAATACGAAACGAGGTTTTTTGTTTTCTTTGCAAATACGTAAAAAGGAGGTGACAACAACTGATAATTTCCAACAATCACAGCAATTTGTTTTTGATAAAGCTTGGTGCTGGTTGTTGATGAAAATTGTCCAATTAATTTAAATTTGAATGGATCCGTCTGATTTGGTGCCACAAATATTTTAAATGAGTTAATTGGTTCAGAATGTCGAGATGCATTTTCATTGTTCTCATTGAAATTGCGAACCTCTACGGTTGCATTGCTCAAAGAAATATGATTAGTCTTAATTTCAAATTCTACGGGCTTTTTAAGCAAAAATGCCGCAATATGATTTTGAGCATGAATTAATGAGTCGTGTGTTTGAATAATGGTAAAACTGATGTCGTCGGTTAATGTAAGTCGTTCTGTTAAGTTTGGCAAAACTTCACTTGTTTCAATATGGAAAACAGGAAGTGAAATGTTGTAGTAATTGGAAATGCTTGTCTCCATGAAATCGGTGGCAAATCCGGCCCTATAGTCATGTCTTGACTGATGGTATGATTGACGGATGGAGTTGACACGATGTTGTAAACATCGCAATTGTAAGTCTTTCGCACAAATTAAATCTTGATCTGTAAAACTATAAGAAATGGATGTCACGCTTTCTCTAGCTTGCTTTCTTTCATTATTAAAGTCAACAAATTGTTTTTCAGTCATTCTCATCAAAATTTGTTGGTTAATTTGACTAGGGGCATCACAATATTTCCTCTTTCTATCGTTATTGTATGAAAGATATACACATTCTTTTTTCACTAATTTGATTTTCATGTTTGAGTAACTTCTATGATAGTCCAATACTGTGGTTCTTTTTGAATAATCACGTGACTCTCCGAAAAATCCTTCAAGAGAACGTGTTCCCAATAAAGACAAATCAAAAACTGCATCTTGTGGAATAATTCTGATCAATTTCTGAATTGTTTTGATGTTATGGATAATGATGTTTTTTGTGAGGGTTCCGGATAATGTAAAATTATTATTCTTATTGGAAATAATGACGTCTTGGAAAACGGTATCCCACTCATTCAAATAGTCCAAATTTTCCTTAAGAACTTGCAACACTTCGTGCAAATTGTGTGAAGATGTTCCATCATGATTTTTGTCATCGTAAACATGAAATAAATCATGTATCGCTTTTAAGTACTTATAGAATCCTAAATATCGATAGTTGGTTCTCTCGTTCAATAATCGTAATTTTTCAAGTAACTGTAAATTGCATACATCACGTAATACATCCTCAGATTGATCATCATATTTGATAAACGAGCTCCGTTTAACTATTTTACACCACTCTAAAGGTTGTTGTCTATATATTTCATCGAGTGTGTTCAATTCAAATCGTTGTAAAATAGAACAAGAAATTTTGGTGACAGCTATGTCTTGATTGCTAAAATTTGCCACACACACTTTACCAATGTTAGTATGAAGGGTTTCACTCAACAACGTAACACTTAATTCGTTGTCATTGCTGCTATGATAGAAAGAAATGCCTCCAGAGTTAAAATTCCGTGGTTCTTTTTCTTTCCATTCAAATGAAATTGTGTCTTTGTCATTCACTATGAAGGAAAGTGGTATGTTGGTCGCTTGTGTTCTTTGAATAACAATTTTCATCAAATGGCAACCGTTTCCGTTGTCGTTGGAAGAAATACAAGCAGAGGAATGGCGTGCAATTTGAAGGTTTGGAGCACCTACTTTAGTGGCAACCGGATATAATTTTGGTCTCCCATTAATTGCATTCCTCATGTTTTTGCAATGGTGACTGTAGCAAAAATGATGTAGTTCATTTGGGCTCGATGTGAAATATTTGTAATTAGCAGACCCTGCATCTGACACAGTACAGACGATGTTTCGAGTATATGTGTCACGAAATTCAGAAATCGTGTCTCTAATGGTTTGTTCAGTTTCAGTAGTGCATACTTTGAAGTTTCCAGGAATTCGAACTTCACCGTTAATACTGCAATATAAAGTTTGAACAATTTTTTCAGCTAAAAAACCCTTGGGTGGAAAATTCGGACTCTGAGCTAGTGCAGTACAATCACTAATCTTCAATGGACCTTCATTGGCACCGTATACAAGCCCAAGCTTGGTATTGATTCCTAAATGCGGTGTTACATCTACTGCATCAATTTGAACAAGACCAAAATTTTGATTTTCAATAACCTTCATTTTTTCTACTAGCTTATCAAAGTCATCTTTGTCTAGTTTAGTATTCCCTTCTCCATATGATGCGGTGTGAAAATGATGGTCGAGTGTGGATGAACAAGGTAGGACTAAGTTACATCTTTCAGAAGAGGGTTCAAATTCTTGTCCTCGTTTCAACCCTCTCGCCAATGCTTCATACGCATTGTATCCCATGATAACCAATAAATCTTGAGCAAAACAAAGAACAGATGGGCTCCATCTATGGCCTCTACTGTCTTTGCAAATTAATTGTGAAAAAGCATCACGAAGATATGTGAAAAAGAAAGTTCGAGGTACTAATTTGCGACTACCTAACACCTGAAAAAACAATTTTTTCAATTCTTGAATATCCTCATCAAATATATCACATTCCGAATAATAACTATCATCATCGTTATTTTGTGATTTAAAATCAGCATGGTCTACAAAATTATGAGAGATGGTGTCGGACTTGGTATTTACAATTGATGAGTGTGTTGGAATAAATTTGTTGTTAATTAGTTGTTGCAGCATGTAATACGGTGCTGTTTGTTCTTTTGTTGAATATGACAACGTGATGTAGTCTTCAGCAAAACCATGATCCAGGATTTTATGTAATTCAATAACGCCGACATTTTTTTCTGGTTCGAGTAATTTCATGATGGTTGAACTAGAATAACGTTGTGACGTTGTTGAGGTTTGAGGTGGGTCTTCGCAAGCTGTACTTGTTTTGGAGTGTTTACGTTTTTGACGAATTCGCATCAGCTCGTCATGACACTCTTTCAATTTCAAATAGCCTTGAAAATGTAGTTTGTTGATCCATTCTGATGTTAACTCTTGATTTTGTCTTTGATTTTGAAATTTTGGGTCAGAGTAAATGTTATAGATAGCACTATCCTCGTCCGGGTCAATGCAATCAGTAACATATTGTGCAATCTTTGTTGAATTGTCAACCTGGAATTTGCAACAGTATAGAACAAATGGGACTCGTTTGTTGTGTGTGATGAGGTATGAGAAATATAGTTCGAGATGGCGATGGATGGTATTAAAATCCTTGCGATGAAATCCACATTGATCAATAATATCTTCTATTAAATGTTCGACATTAATATATTGATGGACTGCGAATAGCATTGTTTTGATGGCAACATGATATTCCGGTCTCAACAGACCGACAAAGGCGTTTCGTTCATGTTTTAACATTTTTATTGAAAAAACCTCCAGCAAACACCAGAACAAAACTTCGACAGCCTGCTCGACCTTTTTTAAAATGGTTAGGATTCTAAAAAATAAAGTGCTTTCCAAATGCTATTGTAACACTATTTCTGGGAGTTGGGAACGCCAGCACTGGATACTCTGGGGAGCAGTGTCAATATTTTAGTTGCAATGGAATTCCATCAAATTCATCCGCCGTCTGTTCTTCGAACGGTAACTGTTTCACTCCAAACAATTGCACATGCTTTGATGGTTATTCAGGCTCAGATTGCCAATTCTATCAGTGCTTCAACATTTCCCATAATAGCAGTCATGTATGCTCGGGACATGGTTTATGTACACAACCAAATGAATGTCAGTGTACTCCAAATAAGTATTGGGGAGATCAGTGTGAAACAACTTCATGCTTCTCCATCATTTCCAATTCTACTAATCCAAAACCATGTTCTGGCAACGGAAATTGTGTTTCATTTGACAATTGTTCCTGTGTCACTGGATACTCTGGGGAGAAGTGTCAATATTTTAGTTGCAATGGAATTCCATCAAATTCAACTTCTGTATGCTCTTCTAACGGTAACTGTTTCACTCCAAACAATTGCACATGCTTTGATGGTTATTCAGGCTCAGATTGCCAATTCTATCAGTGCTTCAACATTTCCCATAATAGCAGTCATGTATGCTCAGGGCATGGTTCTTGTACAAGATCAAATCAATGTCAATGTACTCCAAATAAGTATTGGGGAGAACAATGTGAAACAACGTCATGCTTCTCCATCATGTCTAATTCTACTAATCCAAAGCCATGTTCTGGAAATGGGCTCTGTGTGTCATTTGACAATTGTTCATGCTTTGGTGGTTATGAAGGTTTAGATTGCTCTGTAAACTCGAACTCTATTTCCTTAACAGTTGAAAACGCGCCGTACTATATTTCGAGCAGAAACAGGACCATTGAAATTGAAGGTCATGTCATCAACGTTAACACGAGTGAAATATTGAATGAAACCATTGTCTTCAATATTCATTGCCTTAATTGTACTGACGAAAGTAGTACCGTCTTCAAAGTAGTACATAACAAAGGATTGAAGACGTTTGATTTCTCGCTGTTTAACATTACTACAGCTGGAAGATATTTACTTATCATGAATGCATCGCTTTTCGACAACAATTCGCCGTACAGATATTGGAAACAAAGAACTGTCAATTTTTTCGTCACATATATTGGTGATACTGAGCTAGTGATGCACGGACTACCACATGCATTGGTCACAAACATCCAGCAGTCATTTCAAGTCGTCATTTCAGCTGTTAAATTTCCTCAACGATCCGAAGAAATTCCAAACAGCTACCTTGGGACAAGCACATTGATGAATAATGCTTCCAACCTTGTGTCTTTTTCTATAGAGCTCAAAGACACATCTTCCAGTAACAACACTCTGTGTTGGACCTCTGGAAAAACCTATGCTTCAGGAACTCTTGTAGAAGGAGGTTCATTCACCACTTCCGTGCTTTCGCCAGTTGTCTCATTACAATGCAATTTTCTTCACACAGTAACTTCAGCATCGCGAGTCTCGTTGAATGTCGTACTCACTAATGACAAAAATCCAACCGATGCTGTACAGTTTAGTTATGAAATACCAATGCTCAGCTTTAATTTTCCACTGGTACGAAATAGTACCATCATTAGTCCTAAACATGGCGTTGCCCTTGACACGTTGTTTTCAGTTTCTCTGATAGATGTGACTATTTTACATAGTGTTCCTGCCTCTCTTTTTCCATTGGAGTTTGCTTTTGGATTTGTTTTGGAAGATTCCAAGCAAAAGATAAGACTGACCCCTTTTTCACAACATTACAACAATGTCAATTTTGCTCTTCCATTCACTTTTTATCAGAAACCAGCACTAAAGGAACAGTTAGACATTTTACTTTTCATTCGAGACGTCTTTTCAAATGAATATTCTCAAACCATTGGACAAGTAGAGATTTACCCCAACACAAACGCAGACAGCCTTACTGAAAAAGTGAAACTTAACAAGAATTTGGCATTGGCTGCCACCTATGATCGCTCTCTTCTCGCTTCTCAACAATCTAGCAACACGTCTATCGACATGACTCTTTCTGCTGTTCAACAGTTAACTCTCACAGCACTTGATAAGGACTATTCACAATCACTGCAGGCCTTGTCACTTCTTTCGGAGCAGTCCTTTGTGGAACAGCTCATTGCTTCAGCACTGACAGAAAAGGTTGGTCAGTTCCTGAGCGAAATGAAACAACTCTATATCAGAGAAAAGAGGCAATTCGGTTTTGTCCAAAAAACGGTAGACACTGATTTACAGTCTTCTCTTGAACTCACATCCAATATCATGAAACGTGGACTTTCCATGAACGAAATTGCTGAACTATGCCAAAAGATCTCAACCATTGCTCAAATAAGAGAAAATCCAACACTGCTTCATTCCAATTCTTCCAGTGTTCCAACAGTGAGACATTTATTTTCTGAACAAGTGAACATTACAGTCATGAGCTTTGTACAAGACGTGTCTCTTCAAAATTATTCAAAGAACGCATTCTTACAAGATGTTGAATTTAATACTCGATACATTCTCTCAAAATATGACGGTTTCTCTCAAGAAATGGGAATCAAGAAGGTTTCTTTCACAAAGAGTGTGAAAACACACAAAGAGGATACAAATCAACTCATTTCATCTGTAAAGGATTTTTCCTTCTCAAAGAATATCCAAGAACTTGCATTACAGGATTTAGAAGAACCTTTAATCTTGTCATTTAACATTCAGAATCAAAGTTTAGATCTTGGAAGCAACATTTCAAAACTATCTTGTCGCTACTGGAATGAAACGACACAATCTTGGAATACGAATGGATGTGAGGTGTTGAGAGTGGTGAACGAAACTCGTGAAGTATTGTGCTCGTGCAATCACACCACCATGTTCTCTGTCTTTATGCAGTACGACAACTCTTCGTTGCAAGGAGAACCAAATCGACAACAATTCTTGTCAACATTATTTATTGGACAAGTGACTGTTGGAGTTTTTTACTTTCTAGCTTCAGTAATTATATTGATTTGTTTATTCCTATTTCGTACTAAACAGCCCATCAAGAGTCGATTGTTTACACCATTTGTTGGAATGGTAAGCTTGATGATTCAAAGCATTTTGATTTCCATGACTCAAAAAGGAGTACTTTTATCTTTGACACAAGAAAATTTTACACAATCAAGTGTTACACATTGGGAAGGTTCATTGCAAAGTGCTAATATTCTTGGTAATGTGGCCATGATTATTTCTAATACCTTATCCATTACTGCGATTGTGTTTTATTTAGTTCAAGTCCTGAGATTTCAATTTTTGAAATACTTTTATCATAAAATGATGATGAACAATCATGTGAAGAATGGAGAGAAATCAAACACCAATGACATCACTACTCCACAACAATTTGGTCAGCTTCCACCCATTCAAAAGATGATCAAGCAAGTGGCATCAAAATCCCTTTCTACCACAGTATTAGTCATTTGTTTACTATTGAATTTGGGTTATTGGACGTTGTTTGTGATTTTAGTAAGGTCTGAAGCAATTTCTCCTACAGCATACACCTTTGTGGTCTCCATTTCATACACTGCATTCGTTTTATTGTGTGGACTTTTAATTACAGGAGTTGCTGCAAGCGATTTTATCTATTCCTTTATACTCTCCATGATTCAGAGACATGGGCCAGAACAACAACCAGCAACGCATCTCTCCAATGTTGGAAATTCCAAGTCTGTTGTAGCTCCACCAGAAAAGATTTCCGGAACGTCTAAAAAAGTGGTTCAATGGCTTCATGTGAAACCACTTCGAGATTGGTTTGCAGATTTGGATGCTCCTCTTTATTTCAGAGGAGAAATGATATTATTCATGTTATGTTACACTTTCCTGATTTGCAACCAATTAACAGGTCTCTATACCTTGATGAACAAGGATGCTCCGTCACAACAGGCAGTAATGACCTTTGATGTGATTTCGTTTGTATTTGAAATCTTATATGTCGCCACCTATATTCTAGTGTTTGGAGGCTTTTCTTTGCTTATTTTGGCTTTTAACACATTGAAACCAATACTTTCAAGAAGAACGAAGAAGCAAGGATCTGTTACAGATAATCAGACACAAGACGAGACAGAACTTCAAACTCTCTTAAATAGCAAGGAAGGAAGAGAGTTAATGGAAGAATTTTGTGAAAAGGAATTCTCGTTAGAGAACATGTTCATGTACAAGGACCTGACGCAGTTTAAAACCGATTGCAAGTCAAATTCAATCAGCTCTATACATTCATTTATGAACAACATTCATTCCAATTACATTGCTTCAGGATCTCCAAAAGAAGTGAATATTTCCTCTGCTTGTAGAAAAGAAGTTCTCAAAGTGTTCAAAGACATTCAAAATACATCTTCACAAGAATTGAAAGAAGTCAAGAATATTCAACACACACACCCTCAAGACATGACTGCGTTTGAGCAGTGTATTAATCATCTCACTGAAGAAATTCTGTTAAATCTTGGAGACACATTCTCAAGATTGGCCACTACGCCACGATATTCTCAATTTTGTGCTGTGATGAATAATAAGGAAGAAATGATGAAGCAAGTTAATCTCTTGTGAGACTTTGGTTGGGATTGCTATTGATCGAATAATGGGTCTCTGATTAAGGTTACACCATAAAGAAGGCTTTGGTAAGGTTGTGGTGGACCGATCCAAAAACCAGTGTGAATAGTAGCATTTGATAACGCTTCAACAACCATAACATATTTGGACCAAATTTAAAGAAATGAAAATTATGTGATAATAATAAATAATAAATTAAGGTGATAATTGTTTAATCTTAGTAGTGCTTCACTTATTTAACTATTATACATGTCAAATTTACAACTTTTGAGATTTCCAATTCACGTTTTCAATAATGGTAGCAGTAGCAGCACCATGACCAATACACATGGTTTGCAATCCATAACGCTTACCAGATCTTTCCAATTCGTTGACAAGCTTGGTCATTAAAATAGCGCCAGTAGCTCCCTAATTTAGGTTAACATAACAATACCAATTGCATGAAGTGAGCAATACATGTCATGTTGAAAATTGAATGTTCATATTGTAACCAATGATTGTCAATAACTTACCAATGGATGTCCATGAGCAATAGCACCACCATTTGGATTCAACTTGGAATCTGGAACGTTGAAAGTCTTCTTCCATGACAACACAACACTGGCAAATGCTTCGTTCACTTCAAAAACGTCAATGTCAGAAATTGACAAACCAGACTTCTCCAAAACCTTTCTAGTGGCTGGAATGACACCATCTAACATCATCACTGGATCACAACCAACAACAACTCTACTAACAATACGAGCACGAGGCTTGAGACCCAATTGTTTGGCCTTTTCGCCAGAGCAAAGCAAGACAGCAGCAGCACCATCGGAAATTTGACTGGCATTGGCAGCAGAAATCACACCATCACGTTTAAATACTGGCTTCAATTGTGACATCTTTTCAACATCCACTGGATAACGAATACCTTCGTCGGTCTTCAACCAGAATTCCTTGTCACCTTTGGTAACCTTAATTGGTAAAATTTGTGAATTAAAAACTCCCTTCTTGGTTGCTTCAAATGCCTTTCTGTGAGAGTCAACAGAAAATTCATCAATTTCCTTCTTTGAAATCTTGTAGTGCTCTGCAATCAATTCCGCACTAACACCTTGATGGAGCAATTTATGAGGGAATGGAGCAAACTTTGGTTCCTTTGGAGTCGTTGAAACTTGGAACAATTCAGGATCGCAATCGCTTCCCATAGGAACGACAGACATCATTTCAACACCACAAGCAACCACCATTTCCATATCTCCCGAAGCAATTGCTTGAGCAGCGAAGTGTACAGCTTGTTGTGAGCTACCACACATACGATTGAGTTGAACACCTGGAACAGTGACAGGATATCCAGCTTTCAAGAGAGCCAAACGAGGAATGTTAGCACCTTGTTCTTTGACTGGAGTGACTACTCCGCATACAACATCTGTGGAAAATGTCAAATGACAATTCAACAAAATCATTTAATGTTGCAGGTGAGCATTGGTTGTTGTATTTCAATAAATTTTAAAAGCATCATCATCATCATTGGATTACAAAGAATGTATCTATGAAATAGTCATCTTTCAAAACACATACCTTCAACTTCAGCCTTATTTACGTTATTTCTCGAAGTAACATTATCCAAAACCAATGATAACAAAGTAACAGGATGAATTCCATTCAATGATCCTGAGCTTCTTCCCAATCCAATAGGAGTTCTTACGCAATCTACAATATAAACATCACGTCCACATGAGGAACCAGCAGTTTCATTCATGCTCAACATTTTCCGATAATGATAAATAACGATTTTGAGGAGAAATTAAAATTTGATGATGAGGCTGATGATTGTTGTTCGCCGACGACCGAAAAAAAACGACTCTCAGAGATGGGTTGGGATTTTTTTTTTGTTACTTTTTCATCGCGACGATCATGAACGAACGGCAGGATTGGGAGAATTCGAAATTTTCCTTCAATCTCCTGTTGTAAACCTGCGATCATCAAAATCAATGATGGATGTGAAAAGGAAACCAAAGACAATGGTTTTGAACAAAATTTTAAATAGGTTTTGTGTACATTGTTTTTTCAAAAAAGTAGAGAATGTGAAATGGCCTTAGTGAATCTCAAGTAATGTTCATCCTCAATATCAGATTAATTAGTAGTAATTGAAGATGCTGAATCTGAGGTATCTGTACTCTCTTCATTTTCTCGTTCCATCATAAATCTCGAAAATGTGTCATCCAAAATCATTCCTTTCACGACCACTTCCAACTTGTCAAATAAATCCAATTGTCCATAACCGCTTGCAATTCTCTTATATTCTGTCTCGAGAATTTTCTGAGAAACATTGAGTGGTTGAGGTGAATTTGGTAATAAATGTCTTCGAACGATTTCCTTTTGAAGAACTGCTCGTTCCTTAGATTTTGAAATGGTCTTGTATTGTTCAACCATTTCCAGGAAGAGGAAATTTTCAGAGCTTCTTTCCTTAATAGTGAATTCTTTGAATTTGTGTCTCAATTCCTTATCAGCCATGACTTTATCAAATTTGGCGACTTTTTGAATTTCCATTAATTTTTCTTGTTGCATGGACAACATGTTCTTCAATTCGGCTTGTTCTGACAAATTCTTCATGACAATGATGAAGGCATCACCAATCACTCCTTCTCTGACCGTCATTTTCGTTTTGTTGACACTCACATGTACAGGATATTTGCTTCCAAGATCTGAGTACAGTGTGGTTTCAAAGGCTTCTCCACCACGAGAAAGAATATCCAATTTTTCTAATAATTCTTGAAGTGTTGAGAAGTTAGTAATGTACTCATTGATGACATGATTTTCAAAAGGTGTTGATTTCATGGAGTGTGGCGATTGAGGTTTTTTCTTTAAAATTTTGTTTTCAAACGATGAATTAATGTTAATAATTAATCCCTGTGGATGTTCATGTCGTAATTATCATGGATGGGTGAAATTAAAATAATATTATATTTATATTAATAATAGTAATTTTCAATCAAGCAATGAACTCAAAGCATGTACTTACCGATGAGCATTCCACGGTCACCACAAAATCTGTAATGCTATTCAAAATGCATCGACTCTTTTCCTCCTCAATGGCAGTTCTTTCCAAAATATTTTGCATCATCATATTGTCATTGGCAAGTTTCGATTGTGACACTTCCAACGCTACCAACATTCCATTAATATCCGCCGAAAGATCTCCCAATTCATCAGAACTCACATTCACAAGTCTTCGAGAGAGATCATTTTCATTGGTCACACTTCTCACAAAACGTCCAATTTTTAACACTCTTCTCAATACTACAAATTCCACAAATACCAACACTGCAGCAGCCATGATAATGACCAACGCTAAAATAGCAACGGCTGTATAAAGGAAAGAAAACCATCCCAATGAATAAACCTCTCTGGAAATGTCTGTTCGAATGACCAATGCTTGTTGTCCACTCCAATCATTGACAAGCTTGAAAGCAGAAAATCGTGTCGAACCACTTTCAGAAGGAGTATAGCATTGTCTCTTTTTAGAATCATCATAAATCACTCCAGGAAACATGGCAAATGGAGCCTCAATCGTCCATGCATCTTTGGTGGAAATGGTCGATGCATTTTGTGTAGATAAATAATCTTTCAATTCTCTTGTCGAGTCAAATCCCATACATTTCCTTAATACTTCCAAATCAGTGGAATCTCTCAAATCAAAGAATGTATTACATTGTTGATTTCTTCGAGCCAGATCAGACATAATATTGGCCGTGATATATCTAGCAAAAATCATCAAACCATTCGTTGCTGAATTGTCCGTAGGTTGAATGGGTTGAGCTGCGACCATGATGATATTCGTATGATTGGTATTTTCTGGCAATAAATCAGAAGTAATTGGAGAAATTCCACTCTGTTGCATTAATTGAGTAATGGTGAGTGAGGGAGTGATCAATGTTTCTTGCCGCTTTTCTGGAATGTTCACATCGATGAAAAAACTTGCATCCAATTGTGTCAATTCACTCGGAAATGCACTCAATTTCACACCTCCAAAACAATTCACACCTCGAAAGAAGGTTTGATTTGGAAAATACATCATGACATAATGCATATTCACTCTCTTCATATAACTACATGAAAAGTATTCATCAAGAAGATTATCTGCTTGAGAGGGACTTTGTGCTTCCAGAATGTTATACACTTCATCCCAAGCTGCATATTCGTAGAGTTTGTTGAATAGTACGTCATAATCGTCGTGGAGCGCTTTGGAAAGTTTTTTCACTGATTCTTCGCCGAATCCTCTTTCAACATTGCGGAATGAAAATTCAAAGGAGAGAGATAGACCTAGAGCACATAGACAGACAATGACTGTTGTTGTAGCAACAAGGAGTCATGAATGACAGGATCATGAAGGTTTTAGAGATTGGTCATCGGTGTAGTAATGGTCACATGTCAAGCGACATGTCAAATTTAGAAATTATATTCATCATGATGATCATCAAATTGATTCCAATAACCAACACGTCGACGTGACCATTATTGTGTGTCAATATTGAAACAACAATTGTTATAATCATTTCATTAAAAAAGTGTAACAACAAAACACTAACTTACTCATCGATGTCATCAACAAAGCCGTAGTGGTCTTCAATCGCAATCCAAACCAACTTTGAATTTTCAACCACACACCCGTCAACCCATCCACTCCTTTTTCATGATTCAAGATGGGTTCTTGTTGTTGTTGTTGAGTAAATAGGACTTCACCACCCATGATTGTACTTCCGAGTTTGGGAGAATCGAATCCTGCTGTGCTTTGTGAACCAGTCGAAGAGTCATGGTTGTTGTTGTTTCCATTCACAAATCCAGTCCATGTTTTATTGTAATAGGAGGGTTTTCGAGGAGAAGTTGTCGTATTCATTTCGAACATGTTGATGATGAGTATGACTTGTTTGATGAATATTATATAAATTGTTGTGTGTAAAATGAAGTGTTAGATGGGAAATGACAGAAACGTTTGGGAGACGAACAAAACATATACTAGTAATTCTCCAATGATCAAGTCGGTTGTTGCTGCTGTTGTTTGATGAATAGCACAATAGAGACAATCACGCAAGAGAGCTCTGTAGCAGAACACTATGGGTGACTTGAACTCGTGTTTGTTTTTAATGAGATGTGGTGACACTCACTCGAGTGCTTCGTCGGTTATTGCCAGAAGGAAGGGCTTATTGGCTAGATTTGACAAGTGGAGCGAATTTTGTGCGGACTCGAATGTAAAAATGTTGACGACGACGGAGGGAACTCTCCATGTTTGAGGTGTAAACAATCAGCGCGAGAAAATGAAATTATCATGGGAAGGTATCGTGCCATGAATATTGCTGCACTGAAGAAGTGAACAGTATTGCCATTTCTCAGTGATACAATCGCGTGATGAGGTTTCTTCATAGTTGGTGGTGTGAATTCAGATGCAAGATCATCGTATATTGTACAATAATTGTTAATCCACAAAAAGAGCATGTCAACTATTCTTTAAAATGGAACATTCCAATGTATGTCGACTACCCTCTCGAGATCAAAAACGTTCCGTATTCACTTTTTTCTCCTTAATGCCTTTTTTGAGGTATTCTTCATACGATTCTTCAATGGAATGGAAGCTTTTTCTTCTTCATACGAGGATAACGAATTGGGTTCACGATTCACCACATCTGCATTTCGTTGCATGGCCACATATTGTTTACATTGCAACTTTTTCGAGGCATATGAAAGGGCCTTTCCATTTCTTCGGATGGCCAAGAGCACTATATCAAGATCTTCACGCAATGCTTCAGATGCATACTGTAAAGCCATGGGATTATGCTGAATGGCTAATTTGACCAGTTCCTTATCATTTCGTAATTGGTCATTGGCGATTCGAAACAGACCGTGATTCGATCCAAATGCTGAGCTCTGGATGAGTGCTGTCACAATTTCACGATCCTGTGCAAAACATCTAGGAAGGTAATGCATACACCAGCCATTGCTTTTCACAGCTTGTAATGCAAATTCACGATATTGACTCTCAGGAGGTTTGAATTTAAATTTGGTTAGACTGAAAGGATCTGTTTTCACAGCCAAGAGTTGTAACTGTTCATCTTGTTGTAGCTCTTCAGGTAAGTCTCGTAAGAGGCGACCATTTCGTTCCAATACCAAGGTCAAGGTTTGTTCATTCAACTTTAAACTTCCACTGATGTGTTGGTAAGTACGCACATTACCATTCAGAGCTTTCATGACAATTTCAAAATCATTTTTCAATTCTAAAGACGCATACGAAATGGAATCGGGGTAGTTCTCGATTGCTTTCAGGACTAGTTCTCGATCGTTTTTGAGATCAGAGGAGGCCTTTCTGAGAAATTGACCACCGATTTGAACAGCCTGTAGCATAAATTCCTTCCTGTGAAATAATTCGTGAGTTTTGGTTAAGTAGGTCAGCAGACACTCGGGGTCTATTTGGAACAGTTCCATCACTAGCTCAGTATTTTGATTTTGTAATTCATCAGAGCAAAATTTGAACGACTTTGGATTTTGACGATAAGCTTCCTTTACAATCTGAGGATCTTTCTTAAACTCCATGTCTGCATATTGCAAACATAATCCATCTCGTTGTACACAATGTAAGGTAAACCATCGTTGGGATGTGAAGATGGATGGAAGGATGCTGTACACAGATCTTTGAATGTGATAAGGAAAATACTTTTTCGATTTAAATTTCTCAGCATCGTATAAAGTGTGATTGAAAGTACGATTTTGCATGGTTACATAATGTTTGAAATTAATTTTTTGATGATTCAATCGAATAATGCTATGCTTGGGATCCAAAGTCAACGACATTGAATTTTGAGTGGACATTCCCAGAAGGATCACTGTTCGAGCATGATTATATTTCCACAATTCCACACGATTCAACATGTTACTGACATGATCGACTTCATCACTCCAAGCAGGTCTTCCATTTGTAATTTTCAGAAATTCCCTCAAACAAAGTGGAAATTTTGTTTTAAATTCCATTTCTCGTTTCACAATGAATTCTTCATCCACTGGAGGCTCAGAAAGTGGTTTGCGTAAACACAAATTCTCATCATGCCACATGTATTGAAACTCTCTTCGTGCTACTGTACGACATGCCTCCTGAAAGCACATGCATACATGTTGGGCCATTTCACGATCTTGTTCATCCAAAAATTCGGCAATACTTTCGATCGTGTCAGAAGCAAGAAAGAGAGTGGGAATGTTTGGATCTGTGGTTTCATTTTCAGGAATGATTTCTTGGTTTGAATTTTCATCATCACTGTGAGGCAACACACCGTTCGGAGAAAAATTCCTACCCAGACGAAGAAACATTTTTTTGTGTGGTGTACTGCTGTTCAAGGTGGAGATTGATTTCCAAACAATTTTATTTACTCTTGAGCAAGGCAAACTAGTTTTCTGTCTTGTTCGTTTCCAAAGATCTACCAATTTTGTTTTGCATGGCATCAGAGAAATATTGTAAACTCTTTGGACATGCTAACACTAGTTCTACTAGCTCGTCTACTCCTGACACTAAATGGACAAGAGACTCTGCAATTTCCTTATTTAATTTCTCTGCACCGGTTCGTTCAAATATCTTTTTCAAGACAATCATATCCCTATCCCAAAGAAATCTGACCATGTTACTGGAATACCAAGGATTATAGGTAAAGGTTGCTCGAATGATAAAATCTTTGGTAATCAACGGTACTATCAGATCAGGATCAACAGAATACAGGCGTGAAAAATGGTTATGGACTGATATCTTCACAAGCTCAATAATAACTTCATCGTGTGACATGTGGGGAACGTTGTGAAGGGAGTGTACATATCTAGTTGGTGATGATTTTAGTAGAGTGACCACTTGAGAAGGAGTGATCACATCTTCAATATTAGAAACTCCGTCAAATTGAGCTGTTTGAAGATAGCGTAAAAAGTTAGAGTATTTCAATACATGATCTCTCACAATGAGTTTTCCAGTCTCCACATTGGTTGAAAATATGATGTCATGTACCAATTTTGGCCGGTCTCTACTCCGTCTGTAAAATAGTCTGTGTTGCTTGTTCCATACTTTTAAATAAAATTCTTCAGTTCTTTCATTTTCAGGCACAAAATCCAAGGTATAAGGTAAGCATGCATGAATAATGGTTGAATGTGTCTTAAGCTCTTCAGGAAGCTGTGAAAAAAGTTTTGGATAAAAGGAAACCATTTTGGTAACAATAGACTTGTCACTAAATGCAAATGTGACAAGGTCTGAGGCCATTTTCTTTGCAGTTTCATCGACACACTTTGATTCTAATGTCTTGCATAAAATATGTTTGGCGAGGGCAGGTGCCATTCTTCCACTCTTCATGTATCTCATTAAATACTGAATAGTTGGAGCAGAGAAAGAATCGGACATAAAAAATTTGAAATAGCCATGATCTTTTTCCATCAAGCGTTCAACAATCTCCATCATGTTCCACTTTCTGAATGGTGGATACCCTTCCATACCATCCATTGGTTCTCTAAAATTATTATAAAAATATCCATACGGATCAAGATGCACATTCTCTACATTCTCAGTGCCAACATGAAAATAAGCGTAAAAGTATTTCTCTAATAATTGATAGGCCATTTTGAAATTTCTAAGAGTGAAAAATGTAACCTGTAAAGCATCCAGCATAATATCCTTGGGCAATTTAGTAATTGCAACCAATTCGGTCACCACGTTTAGCTTTTCTTTCTTGAAGGCAACACGTAAAATTTCTCTATCGATCATTTCACCTCTAGAAAAGTAATGGTACAAAACATGCCGACGAAGCTTGGAAAATCTGATACCTTGTCCATATTCATTGTGGAGAAGATGGTTGCGGCTCGGCTTACAAGAAAGGACTGCTTTGAGTACATCATTATCAATAGTGGCACCATAGGGTATATGATTCAGAAGAGCACCATTATGTTTCATAGCAGCAATCATGACATCCTTGTCAGATCTAAGTCTAGTGGATAAAGCTATGTAGCAATTTGGGCTTTCACGAGATGCTTTAAACGCCTTTTTAAGAATGAACTCTTTGTCATCAAGTAAACGCTCAGGAGTGTAATGTTTAAAATCTTCAATACATTCAAAAATGGTATCTTCTTGCAGAGGTCTCAGATAGATGTCATCAGTGAGCTCGAAAGATAAATCGCAATACTTGTGGTCTGCTTTCAAATATTTGAATAAATTTCGTTGATACTTCCCTGTACGAATTAAAAAGTCGAAAATATCAAATTGTAGTGCTTTGGAGAAATTGGGATCATCACTGGGAGATCTTTCCACTTTAGAAATAAGTTTGTCATTTTCAAATTTACGGGATTTTCGTCATTACGAAAAACAATGATTCAACATTGAAAATAATCATTGAGAGTACAGTACGCACCAGTTAATGCAATAATTGAGTCCGCGTTTACATTAGGCGAGCTTATCAGTACCGACTTGTAATCCTTTGAAATCTTCTTCAACACTAGATACCTCCTATTGTAGGTCATTATTTCAGAAAAGGCTGTGCAAACTAAACAAAACCGATTAAAATCAAATAATGGAATAAACTCTGAAACGTAGAGCCAATAATCTTCCGAGAGGTGGTGCTGATCATGGTTGATATCAGTAACCTCCCGATGACGATATTGAATACTTTTTGAAAATTCAGGACGTGATTCTTTGATAGTTTCCGCTAAATTTGCGTTAAATTCAAAATCTGTCAAATTGAACACAAAATCATCATCGTCAAGCACAGTAGCCTGCGTGTTGGAAGGATTACTACTAAACATTTTTTTTGTCGTGAATCAGTTCAATCCAACATGACAACTGGTGTGAACATTTCATTTCTTTTGAACAATTTCAAATCCAAGAATGAACCAATAGCAACAATGTTACATAAATCTCCAAATGCTTTCAAATACCTTAGTATTACTCGTCAATGACGGCTGAATGAATTAGTACCAGTATCTCTAAGGAAATCTTGGATTATTTCTTTGTTTGATGTTTGCTCATCAACAATCATCAAAGCGTTCAACTTGTCATCACACATAAAAAAAAATTTCAAGATGTGTAAGTAAATTCACACCAACTGTTTTGACTTTGTGTATTCACACCAACTTGATCATCATTGATACTTGATCCAAATAATGGCACTCTCCACATAACGGATCGTTGTGCACAACAATTACTCTATTACATCAATCTACCGATATAATTTCCAAATATTTTATTTTGTACCAACCCAACTTGTGCTTTTCTCAATCTTGATCATTTCTGACTTTCTTTAACAATTTGTGAAATCACATCATCAATCGAATATCACTTCTCAATTCACACATGTCCAGCTGGAGACGTTAAAGGAACACTTTCCAAAGTCAAAAGTGGAAATGTCTCAAGTCGGCTTGCTGCCATTGGAGCTCTCTTCTCCCTTGCCAGTGATGACGACATTCGTGAAGAAATTAGAGAAATGGGAGGAATTGGTATTTTAGTGGGTTGTTTGGATGAAAGTGCTGATCCTCGTATTCCACGTCAAGCTTGTGGTGCTTTGTTGAATATGGCCAACGATGACAAGTGTCGTGAAGAAATTCGTGATTATGGAGGTATTGAATTAATTCTCAAACTCATTGAGAATCAGTTCAAGGATGCTACCAGTTTGGAATATGCCACTGGTGCTTTATTAAACTTGTCATCCGATGATGAAACAAGAGAAATGGTTCGTGAAGCCAATGGTGCTCCCATTCTTGCACATTGTTTAAAGGATGCTCCGAGTGATGAAGTTTTGAGAAATTCTGTGGGATCCGTTGCTTCCTTGTGTTTCGATCCAGAATTTACTCGTCAATTGGTGAGTGAAGGAGCATTGCCTCATATTATCAATGCTTTGGAATCAAAGGATGGTGAGACACGTTCAAGAACCAGTGGTTGTATTTGGAATCTTAGTGTCACCTCAGATGAAACACGTGAAGCATTGGCTCGTGAAGGATGTTTGGAAAAATTAGTGGACTTGTTGAAACATCACGAAGAGAATAATGAAGATCCTGAAACTGTTGGAAATTGTGTCATGTGTTTATCTATCTTGAGTTCCAATGATTTGGTTTCTGAGACACTTCGTGAAATGGATGGATGTTTTGAAATGATTGTCAAGTTTTTGACCAATTCAGATGCCACCATTGCTCAGAATGCTGCAGCTGCTGTTTGGAATTTGGCTCACAATGATGAAAATAAGAAGGTTCTTGCAGGTTTGGATACAATGGCTGCTTTGATTCCATTGTTAGACGCTTTCCAATCAGAAAGTCAATGGGATGCTTTGGAAAAGGTGTTGGGAGCAGTGTTGACTTCAAGCACCCATGATACCATGGCTGATCAGGTAAGTACAAGGTGTGAAATGTTTGAATTGATTTTGGAATTCTAACTCATATTTCACATGTGTTGCGTTATTCATATTCATGTATTCACTGTGCTGCGTTGCTATTTTCCATATCTCGTTTGTATATGGATGAATATGTTCACATGTCACTCACTTTTAACATTCTCGTTGTTGTTAATTGTCCCAACAGTTCCGTGAAAATAATGGCTTCCCTTCTTTGAAATCTATCATTGAAGGCAAAGTAGATCCAAATTCCATTCAAGACGATCAACACAAGAAATGTGTACTTTACGGCATTATTGGTTTTGCAGTTCTTGCTTACAATGACAAGAACAAGGACGAAATTCGTGAGTGTGGTGCTCTTGCAGATTTGATTGAGTTACTTCGTTTGGAATATGACGATGACTTGCTCGAGAAGGTCACTGCTGCTCTTCTCAATTTGACTCACAACATTGAAAATCGTGTGGCCATTCGTAAATTGGACGGTATTGCACCACTCATTGAATTGTTGTATCACCCCAATGAAACCATTTCTATGAATGCAGCTGGTTGTTTGTGGAATTTGAGTAATGACGAAAGTTGTAAGGCTGTCATTCGCAGTTTGGGTGGTCTTAAACCCTTGTTGACCATTATTGGTGGTGGTAAAGTGGCTCCCAAGTCTAAAAAAGATAGAGCAATTAGTAAGGAAGCTATTGAGGCTGCCAATCGACTTGTGGGTGGAGCTGACGACGAAGAACCTGTTCCTGAAGAGAAGTTTGATGTCGCTGAATTCATTGAAGAAAAATTCAATCCTAATAAGGAATATGAAAAGTTGGATGAACAAGTTGATAAACCATTGAAGAATCAACCTCAATTGAATCGAAATGGAGAACAAAGAACTACTACTGGAGCTGGTATTGAATATGGAGAGGAAACTGGTATGACTCCAGCCAAGATCATTGTCGGAGCTGCTCGTATCGACATTAAGAATCGTCGTAGACAAGCTGAAATTGAACGCGAAAAGAAAGAAGCTGAAGAAAGAGAGCTCAGAAGAAAGGAAGCTGAAGAACGAGAACGTGCTCGAAAGAAGAAGGAGGAAGAGGAGCTCAGACGTAAAGAAGAAGAGCAAAAGAAGAAACAAAAAGAAGAAGAAGAAAGAAAACGTAAATTCGAGGAAGAAATGAAACGCAAGGCTGAAGAAGAGGAACGTCAGCGATTGTTGGCCGAAGCAGAACAAACCAAGAATCAATCCAAAGATGCATTCGATGCCAAACATAAGAGAAAGAATGTCAAAGATGAAGACATTGATTGGGATGAAATCTATGAAGATGGTTTCACACCTTCCAAAACCAAAGAAGAAGCAAGAGACAAATTACAGGGTCAAATCGATGAATATTCCAATTTAATTGATCCCTTCAATTCGAATGGTGTTCGTGACCAATTGACTGAGGATGATCTCAAATTCATTGAAAGTGAAATTGAGAGAGCTAAAAACTTTTTGGAACAAAATCCAAATGCTACCAAAGAACAAATCGACGATGCTCGTAAGGAATTGGATGCCAATGTGAAACCTCTCATTGAGAGAGCCAAAGCAAGAAAGGTCCTCACGGACATGACTCAAAACATTCGTGATCGATTAATGAATGATTCCGAGTTGTTGAATAATTTGACTCCTGAGGAGAGACGTGAACTCGAGCAAGCATTGGCCGAGATGGAAGAATGGCTTCGTGATCACCCTGATGCTACCAAAGAAGAAATTGAAGCCAAAGAACGTGAACTCTTATCCAAGATTAAACCCATTCTCGCAAGAGCCAAAACCAGAAATGATTTGGAGAATTATGCTCACGACTTGAGAAAGAAAGCTTCTGGTGAGGATGAAGAGATGGAATTCGACTTGTTGGGCGACGAAGATAAGAGAAATGTACACGATGCCATTCGTGAGATTGAGGACTACTTGTTGGAACATCCTCATGCCACCGCACAAGACTATGAAGACAAGTTGCAAGAGGCTAAAAAACGTGTCGATCCCATTCTGAAGAAGGCTCGCGCCAAGAAGGAATTACTCGAATACGCTTCGGGCATGAGAGATCGTTTGCAGAATGATCCCGATTTGAAGAAACGAATCACTCCTGAGGAGAGAAGAGGTATGGAACAAGCGTTGGATGATTTCGATAAGTGGATCAAGAATCACCCTAATGCCGATTTAGAGTCTCTGGAGAAGCAGAAACAGCGTTTGAAACAAAAGTTGGATCCTATTGTCTCACGTGCCGATGCACACAACACTTTGGATGAGTACATTAATCGTACCAGAAAGAGAATTGATGATAAGGATGATTTAGGTGATTTATTGGACGACATGGATAAGAAGACTCTCCAAAAGGAATTGAAGGACTCGGAAGACTTTTTGAAGAAGGTAGAGAAGGAGCCTTCCAAATACACAGCCGATGACATTTCTCAAAAGAAGAAGGAACTCAAGGAGAAGATGGCTCCACTCTTGGAGAAGGCCAACAAGAGAAAGGATCTCAAGGACTATGCTCGTCGCGTGCGGGATGTACTTGCATCGGATCACGAGTTGGCTCCATTCCTTTCACCAAAGGAAAGAAAACTCATTGAGAATGAAACTCAAGATGTTGAAGATTGGATTCGTAACAGCAAGAAGGCCACTCCACAACAAACTGAGGAGAGAAGAAAGAAATTCGAAGAGAAGGTGAAACCAGTGTTGGATCAAGCTGCACAGCGAAAAGAACTCTCCGATTATGCTCAAAGAATTAAGGATCGATTGGAGGATCCTCAATTTGTGGACAAGTTGAAGCCAGAAGAGAAGAAGGCTCTCCAAGATGGACATGATGAGTTGAAGAACTTTTTAGCAAAGAATCCTGAAGCAACTTCCAAAGATATTGAGAAACAACGTGATAAGGTGAATGAAAAAGTTTTACCAATTTTGGAAAGAGTCAGAGAACAAACAGCATTGGAGAATCATGTCAACAATGTTCGTGACAAAGTGCGTGACGACCCACAATTGAGTAAATTCCTTTCAGATAAGGAAAAGAAGGCCATTGAGAAGGCTGTTCAAGACGTCGAGAAAACTCTCAAGAACAAGCCTTCCATTGCTGAGTCAAAGAAGGCCAAGGATCAATTCAATGACACTGTGAAACCTCTCATTGAAAATGCATTTGCTAGAAGCAAGCTCTCCGATCACGCTGATGAAATTTTGAAGGAAGTGATGGAAGATCCTCAAACTACTTCAAAGGATAAGGAAGCTGTCAAGAAGGCAAAGAAGGACTTGATAGATGACTTTTTGGCAAAGAACCCAGACGCCACCAAAGATCAAGTAGAACAACAACGAAAGAAATTTGATGATGCCGTATCTACTGTCACCGATCGTATTCATAAAAAGAAGGAATTGGAAAGAAAACTCAATGATCTTCAAAGAAAATTGGATGATCCAGAAAGCGCTGTCTGTACCAAATCAACACCTGAGGAGAGACAATATTTGGTTTCTAAATTGAATGAAATGAACAAATTCTTGGATGAGAATCCAAATGCCACCACCAAACAACTTGAAGATAAGCTGAATGAATTTACTTCACAAGTTGAACCAACCATGAAGACTTGTGAAAAGAGAGCTCAATTAGATCAATTGGCCAACAACATTAGAGATCGACTTGTAGATCCTAATGATGATTTATGCAAGTATTTGAATGACAAAGAAAAGCAACAACTCAGAGATGCCACCATGGAAGCTCTGAACTTTTTAGAAAAGAATCCAGGTTGCTCTGGAAATGACGTTACCCAAGCCAAGAAGAAACTTGATGACAAGACCAAGGAATTGCTTGAAAGAGCCAAAGCAAGAGGTGGTCTTTATAGAAAGGCTGGTGGTTTGATTAGCGATGCATCTAATTATGGAGAAGGTGGTCTTGGAGGAAAATTGAATTCCGTTGAAAGAGCTGAACTTGTTGACAAGTGCAATGAAGTCATTTCCTTCTTGGACAAGAATCCAAATGCTACTACAAAACATATCAAAGACAAGGAGAAGGAACTTAACAAGGTTGTGAAACCAGTTTTGGAAAAGATCAGCGAAAGAGAAAACCTCATTGACTTGGTGAAGGGCATTCGTGATCAAGTATTTGACATGGACACTGGTCTCGTTGAAGACGAAGATGAAACTAAGAATCTTCTCGCAGCAACTCAAAAGGACGCTGCTGATGAATTAGAAGATTTATTGAACGGACCTACACGTACCTCCAAATCTGCAAAGGACGAAAAGGCACGTTCTGAAAAATTGGGCAATTTCCTCACAGACGAAGAGAAGAAGAAGATTGATGCTGCTACAAAGCATGTCTTGGATCTTGTGAATTCAGATCCAAACCTTACTGTCTCTGATTTGAAGGAACAAGGAAGAAATGTCAAACAAGATACAGATAACATTTTGAAAGCAGCCAAGACTAGATCTGATTTCAAGGATTACTTGACAGGAGTTCGTGATCAACTTAGAGATGAAAAGGATTTGGCAGCCAGCAATTTGAGTGAAACCGATAAGAAACAAATTGAAAATGCAGTGAATAACGCACTCGATTGGTTAAACAAGGAAGGAGCTTCTGCATCCTCAGACGCTGTAGACCAAAAGAAGAAAGACGTCATGAATCAAATTGAACCTCTCCTTCAAAAAGCCAAAGAAAGAGGAGAATTAGAAACAATTGCCAACAAGTTGAAGCATCGTTTGGAAGACGACGTTGATTTGACCTCTGCTTTGACCGATAAGGAAAAGAAGACTCTCGAAAACGAAGTGAAAGAGGTTTTGGACTTTTTGGCCAAGAATCCAAATGCCACCACCGAACAATTAATGGATCGTCGTAAGAAATTCGATGAAAATGTGTTACCTATTTTAGAAAAGACAGAAGCAAGAAACAAGTTGAAGAATTATGCCAATGAACTTCGTACTCGACTCTATGATGAAGATGATCTTGGTGGAAAACTGTCTGAACAAGACAAGAAGAAGATTGAGAATTTCATTGATGAAGCTGTTGACTTTTTAGAAACCAATCCTAATGCCACCAAAGAACAAATCGACCAAAAACGACACGCCCTCGAGTCGAAAGTTGCTCCAATCCTTAAGAAGGGAGATAAGGCAAGAAAGGCCGAAGAACTTGCCAATGATATTAAGAATCGTTTGGAGAATGATTCCACACTGAGAGAAGCATTGACCCCAGAGGAACGTAAGATCGTCTCAGATGCAACCAATGATTTCTTGGATTGGCTTGGAAAGAATGGAGCTACTGCCACAGAAAATGAAATCAAAGACAAGGAGCGTCAATACAAGGAGAAGGTTGATCCAATCTTGAATAAGGCCAAGAACCGAAATGTTCTCAAAGAACAGGCCAAGAAACTCCGAGACAAGTTGAATCAAGATCCACAAGTCTCTGGTTTAAAGTTCTCCGACTCGGAAAAGAAGGAACTCGAGAAACACATTCAAGATGCCATTGATTATTTAGATACTGTAGGAGCCAATACTGCCACCACTGCAGATCAAATCAAGGACAAGATCCAAGACTTTAAGAATAAGACAAGTCCCATTGTTGAGAAAGCCAAACACAGAAGAGCTTTGGAAAAGTATGCCACAGGCGTTCGTGATAAGATCCAAAACGATCAAGCCATCTCATCAAGACTCACACCTGAAGAGAAGAAACTCATCGATAACACTGCAAAGGAAGTATTGGATTGGATCCAACGTCATGGAGATGAAGCCTCCTTACTCGATCTGAAAGAAAAGATGCGTGAAGCCAAGAACAAGATCGAGCCAGCCATGCAACGTGCAGAGAAACATAAGCAATTGGAAGAGTATGTGAACAAGATTCGTGACAAGATAAATGGTGAGTTGAAGGATTGTCTCACTCCTGAAGAAAAGAAGATCATTGAGGCTGAAACCCAAAAGACTCTCGACTGGTTGAGCAAGAATAAGACTGCTCCAATGAGTGCTGTCGAAGCTCAACAACGTGCACTTGATGGAAAGATTTCAAGCATTATGGAGAAGGCTCAAACCAAGAAGGATTTGGCAAACTTTGCTCATGCCATTAGAGATCGTTTGAAGAACGATAAGGAATTGGATCAATTGCTCACTGCTGAAGAGAAGAAGATGATCAATGATGCCGTTCAGGAAACATTGGATTGGCTCTCAAAGAATCCTAATGCCTCACTCGCCGATCTCAAACTACGAAAGAAGAAGTTGGAAGACGTTGTGAACAACGTATTGGGTGATAAGGAAGCTGCTGAAAACTTTAGAAACTATGCCGAAAAGATTCTTGAAGTCTTGAAGAAGAACAAACAAGTTCAACGTGATTTGACCGACGAAGAGAAGAGAGATGTTGAATTGTTCGCAGAGACAGCCAAAGATTGGCTTCATCAAAATCCAAATGCCACTGCTCGTCAAATTCGTATGGAAAAGAAGAGACTCGAAGAAAAGTTGGGCAAGATCAAGAAATTCAAATTTGAAATTCCTAATGTGACCTATATTGGTAAATTCTCTGAAAAGTTACGTTGGGGTGATGAATCGAAACGAACCAAAGATATTTCAGCACTGATGGGATCCTATATCAAGAAGGGTGATACAACCACCAAGACTTCCAAGCCAGTTCAACCTCCAACCAAACAATACAAGATGGTCATTCCACAACGAAAGCTCACCAAAGAAGAAGAGGAAGAGTTGAAACTCTTTGAAACCATGAAACATAATAAGGGTGGTCTCATTGAAGCTAAATTACAAAGTTTGATGGGAAGTGTGAATGCTGGAGGTCATGGTGCAGGATTGGTTGAAGAAGATCCAAATGCTGAACCTGCTGTGGTATATCCATATGCTGAATTGAAGAATAACAAACAAAAGAAGTATCCTCCCGGCGTTGATGTCAATAAGAGAGAGCAATATTTGAGCAATGCTGAATTCTTGCAAGTGTTCAAGATGAGTCGTGAAGAATTTAGAAAATTGCCTGAATTCAGACAAACAAAGGCTAAGCGTGATGCAGAATTGTTTGCTTATGCCTACGAACTTTAAATGAGTTTTTGTCCTGAATAAATCCGAGTTATCAGTATTCAATTTTTCACAGTTTTTGAAATTAGTGGTGACATTAGAAAGCAATCTCGTCCATGAAAATGTTTTGCCTTCAGGGATAAAAAAATTCTGTAGGAGCAGAGGGAATCGAACCCTCGTCTAAGGAACCACAATCCTTCATTCTACCATTGAACTATGCCCCTTTTCTTTTATTGCTGTTTTCCTCTTTTTTTTCTTACATAATGAAACAGTGAATAGCTTGAAATCTTTGGTTGACAAGTGTCTTCAATTTGTGCTTGATGTTTTATTTTTTTGCCCACCCGGAAAGCATTCTTCGTAGTTCGTCTATATCGTTCATGGTTGAAATCTTTTCCACCAAAATCATATCATCAGTATCACTCTTGAAAGATTTTTTCAATTCCGCAATCTTTTGTTGATAATATTCCATTCGTTGTTGAATAGAATGCAAATCTTCCTCCAGTGGTGGTGGTTGTTGTTTCATTTGTTCATCGAGTTGCAATAATTCCATTCGAATTTGAATCAATGTTGGTATTCTTTCATCATCCGCATGATCATGGTCTTCTGGTATTACTATCCTTTCAGCAGCACTGTTTTCATTGTTCTTTGCCAGAGTCTTTCGGACATTAGGTCCATAACACCTCATCATTTTTTTTTACAATAATTCTCTTTATTATTGAAAAAAGCTTTGAGTCTCTTGAATTTTTTGATCAATTATTGAAAGATTCTTTAAAGACTTCTCAAGTAGGAACATTAGGTGATCTTTACTAAAAGATTGAGAGTTTTTCCGGAACTCAAAAAATGTTGTCACAACCTCCACCACTCAGCATGATGCGTCAACTGGAACAAACCTCCTGGAATCATCTCCATGACCACACGCACACAGCTTCCAATCATCCCCGAAGACCATTTAAAAAACTTCAACCCTTGCTTGTCCGTTCCAATAAAGTCGTTGACCTTAATGTGAGGATGAATTCGGATCACCAGTGGTCATCAAAGTCATCAAACAAGCATGCTCAACTGCAAACCGACCATGATGATGATTACCATGTCATGTACGATCAAGATCTCGATGAAGAAATGCAAAATAATTCTGGAGAAATGGATTCACAATTACTTTCCGTGTATCAACAATTTTTCAATTCATCATGTATTGACTTTAAAAGAACCTGTGATCCTTCATCCCTACACACAACCGAATGAATTTGATGAACTTGAATTACTCCCTATCGAGGAAAGAATTTGGCACAATTGAGAGAAGAAGTGTCATCATGAATGTCTTTTTTACAATTAATTTTTCAAGGAGTTTGTGGATTAAAATCATTTCATGATCATCACTTGATTCATCGAGATGTGAAATTGGAAAATATTTTCGGGAGTCTGGAAAAGAATGGACAAATTTTGCATGTCGTGATGAAGTCGCACTTTTGAAATTTATTTTTCACAATAATGAGGAATTGCAATACGTTTCTGAAGAACATCCAGAAAATGTTCATGACATGGTCGATGAATTATGTAACGAGATATATCGTCTCGCCGTTTTACAAAAATGGTCATGACTGCCATCGAACAAGATCCCACTTCATTCGATGGAGCTTCCGAAGAATTGAGAAATGATTTTAATTTTGTTCGAATTTGTGTGAAGAAAAATGCACTTGTTTTTAGAAATGTTTCTCA